AACTTTGTAGAAATTGTAATGAAGGGCAAGATTGGAGTCACATACATTCATAATTCATTAATATACTGGTACATATGTACACTACATGCATACCTCACCTCGTTGATATTGGCCTGTTCATACAATAAGCCCTAACTTTCCGTGGGAGTTGTGAGCTAGACCGCGCAACCTTCCCCTAAATTTTTTTTCCATCTCCCCTACTATTTTCACCAAAATCCGGCCTTGATTTGCATCTCTTTGCCTAGTCCCCGAGCCGGCGGCGCGAAGCGCCGTGCGAGGGTATTAATCCCCCCCCCCCGGCTATTTACACCCGGGGAAACGAAAGCATTAGCGAAGTCTAAAGTTCATCAATGAGCGCGGGCGTCGGTCACCAACGATGGGTGGTCATCCTCACTGATCTCAAAAATATGGCGGACTGTCATGAATAACGGACACTGATTGCTCCAATTTTAAGTTTGCATTATAACGACTGCATGACGACAGCGAAATAGCAAACATTTCTTAATTTTCTTGATTTGATAAGTTCTTCATTTTTGCTCGTATTTCTGCAAGATTTTGTAAATTTCAAGAAAGAAAGGGCGAAAGAATCAGCTAAAAGAAGGGAGCCGATGTTAACGAAGGTAAGTTTGTTTTAAATATTGATTTTATAATGGCTTTAAAACCCGACGGCCTTTGCGTATATGAAACAACTAAACAAGACAGCATATAATTTCAGTGTATCTTTAATATTGATTCCCTTTTTTATTATATTGAATTTTTTAAAGGTAGGTTACAGTCCTTTCTGCGCATGCGCGGGCTTTGTTTACGTTTTTTGTTTTGATTCACATTAATTATATAAGATGAAGTATATAACGAGTTCAAAGTAACATTCCACATAATTTGTGACTGAGGAGTGCAATGTTTAACAATTCTTTGCTTCATTTCTTGTACATTTCTACACTGGAAATTTTTGTACACAATAACACAATCTTATACTGTAACTGTAAACATCGTGAATAAAGTTATAAAGAGGCCGCTTTGAACGTTGTGTGACTTGCTATATCAACAGCTGGGGCGGCGAACCGAAATCCCGAAGGTGTGAGTTCGAATTATTTGTGTTTACCTTTGGAGTGTCTCATCTGATCAAAACATTTAATGCGGTATCAATCCCTCGAAACATGTTGCCAGTGTTGTTGTTGTCATTATGACAGAAGCGCTTGGCCTTGGGGAAAGCTTTTCGCTTGACGAAATTCGAAACAAGTGTGATTGAGAATGTGGTTGCAGTTCTTGCCTTCGTGGCAAAGCCAAGGGCGAAATATTTGACCGCGCTATGGAGATGATTTCGTTATAAACAACAAAAGAGTTCAATAGATTGACAGTGACGAGAGTACGAGACGCTAAGATTATATTCAACTTTTTTGTGTTATAAATATCTATGTTTTGAAATTATGAACTGGAAGTATGAATTCATTGATATTACTCTCATATTGACACTAAATGATGATATTCTTGTGACACTGAATGATCTGATAGTAATGTTAACTTAAACAATTCTGGTCAATCTAGTGATCACGTAATTAGTTCATCATGTCTCTTCAAGACAGAGGACAATTGCCAAATATATGCTTGTTTCGCTGCATATCAGAGCTCATCAGAATGCTCAGGAAACACTGATGAAATTTTTATTTACATCAACGAATCAGTCTTTCTTTTTCTTAACAGATTTATTGGGTTATATGATATATAGTACAAATAATTTGTAAACAATTATTATTAAAACACATATATCCAAGGGATAGGCATGAATATGACTCAAGGGCTTGTGCCCCCCTGAAAGTACTGAATATATTGACACAAGATCAGGCAATCATAGTACAATATGAACTGGCTTGTGTTTCATATTGCTTTGTGTAGGAGGCAATCCATCTAGGAGAAAGAAAGTTCGGATTTCAAACCCCCAGATCCCACCTTGGACAATACATGTAGTGACTACATGATCATTAGAGCTTGGAAATTAGGTTAAATTCTTAAAGAAAAGAGACTCATTTTTGGTATGCGAGGTATAATTTACATGTATATACATATATATAAATTGTGCACAAATCATCTAACTAATAGCTATGTGTAAAGCTATACTGTAAAGCTGCTAACACTTTATTTATCTCAATGACATTTTCAGTGTTCTGGATAATTTTCATTACTTTGTGAAGAGTTTAATAAAATTTATTTTCTTTGATTTAGGCCTATATACATTTTTAGATTTGATTTGTCTTCATGTGATAAAATATGAACCTGAAATGCTAGCCTAAACAAACTTTTATTTAGGGTGTCTAAATAAAAAAATTTAGCCTGACAGGTTCTTAAATTGTAGGTTCTTATATCAAGCTTTTAGTCACAATTAGGGTGAAAAATATACTAGTAATTATTAATTGAGTTTGTTTACATCATATAAGTTTCTGTGATCAAAATGTTTTATAAACTAAATGTCTTAGGCGGTGTTTATATGGAGGCAAGCCAGCCCGGTTACCTGAGCTATTAAATTTAATTTAATTTTTAAACGTCAATTCTTAAACCTTACACCAAAGTGTGTTTAGTTAATCGAACTACGAATCAAATTTTATAATCGCTGACGTTTTAACAGCTATCAGCACCAAAAAATTCTTACTTTTGCTGAATTAACGTCGGCAAAATTTTGCCGGCCTGGGAGGTTGATAGGTCGGCATTTAGATCGGCATTGCCGAATGCCGACCTCGTTTTCGAGGGTTGTAAGCTGCTTGGATTAAAATATACTTTGATCAGAGAAACTTTTTATGTGTTTCTATTAAGTGAGCACAAGTTGTCCATGAGAAGACAGTCAAAGACAGCAAAGCACGGTCAAGTGACTCAAGTAGATTAATTTATATCATTTGTCAATCTGACAATAAACACTATATCAACAGCCATCCAAGACATCAGTTGACTCCAAATTGCTCATTAACACTTTTCATTGACAACTCCTACTCACGAGTATCATATCTTTAGGCCTTAATTATATGGGTTTCAGTTTGTAAATAAAAGAGATAGCCTAGAACAGTTCGTATGATAGTGTATAATTAAAATTTAAAATAGTAAATAAAGAGAATTTTATAGTCATTAAAACCTCGATTGATGGGCTTCAACAAGCGATTTCACTGAGGTATCCATAGTGAAGGGAGTGAATAGCAGCTATGTTGGGTGAAATGTCCAATCCTTCTTGGATTCTTTTCTTCAAAACCTTTAGTAGAAGCTTGAGGATATAGGTATATCATGGGGAAACGCAGACAGAAATGGCACGCTCTCCATCAAGGAAAACAATAAAATGTATACACTTTGATACACTTTGGAAGCATCCCTGCTAGCGTGGTATTCTTTCCTACTCGTCATGTTGCCTCAAAAACTCGTTATTTGTAGGATTTTCGCTCAAAAAAGCTCAATATATTTTGGAAACTTCTAGCTTCACTCCTTCGCTTGCGAAAAAAACAACGCGCGTGTTATTGCCCGAAATGAGACTGGACCGAGTATAAATCGAGATGCCCAACTTCCGGTGGAGTCCCCAGGCAAAAACAATCACTGACATGCGCAGAAGGGAATGTAACCTACCTTTAAAAAGATATTTAACAGTTGTGAAATTATTCATGCGTATAAGCCAAGAATGGTTAAGGTTGTATTTTTAATGTTTTTATGTTGTGAATTAGAACCTGGATAAGAAACCAGCTTATTTAACTTTTTAATATTACTAGTGTCGCTGATCAGCGAGCACGCGAATGTAAACAAACTGCTAAAAATAGACCCAATTTGGAGATTTATAACTTTTCAGAAAATAGCTTGCAGACGAGTTTTATTCCTGATTACTTAACTTTAGTAGGTATACTTTCAAATTACATGCCTTTTGAACTTCAGATAGGTGCCACTTTTGAGCTATTTTAAGTAAAATATGAGCAATTTTAAGCCTTTCGTCGCCATCTTGAAAACATAGTTTCGTAAAACTATAAAAAAATCGTATTAAGCAAATAAAGTTGTTCAATCTCCATGTAAACGAGAGTATTAGTGTTAATCTTGCATGTGAATAGTAACTGGAGGGGATAAACGCATCACAACATTTTTAAAAAATCAGATGAATTCGTGTAAAATTCCCCTTCATTTCCGGTCTGAAAATATTCTCGCAAGGTCAAATTTTAACATGGCTATAACTCCTATAAAACAGAAAGTTGAAACGTTCTGAAAGAAGCTCGATTAATATTGACCAAAGTCTAGTTCATATGCAAAATATGAGCTAAATCTATTTTCCCTTTCCCAAACCAGTGGGTGGATTTTACTGAGAGGCACTCTTAATCTAGGATTCAATGATTCAATCTAGGATTCAATGATTCAATCTCAAAATTCAATGATTCAATCTACATATATTCGCAAAAACGTTTTTAAAGTCATGTTTCTCGAGTAAATGAACCATTTAGGCTCCAACTCTTGAATAGAGATGACGTACTTTGATGTGTACAGGCCTTTTGTCTCTTATGTACTTCTCATCCAACTCAACAGCAAGCTCTTCTTAATTCTTCATCAGCTGAGCAAATTTGATGCTTGCGTCATTGCATAGAAAATTTCACATACTCTAAAGAAACGAAGGACAAACTCAGGCCATTCAAAACATTAAGATCTAGCTGATTTAGTGGACAGAAGTAGAAGTTTTAGAACGAAAAGGAAATTCTCGAAAAGGAAGTTCTAGAATTGGTACTTGGACCACTTTTAG